AATGTTTTAATTTGTATTTTCTCAGTGACTAATGTAGTTGTGCACCTTTTTATATTTATTGACCACTTGGATGTCCTCTTTTGTGATACACATTCAAGTCTCTTCCATTTTTTTTCTATTAGTTTTTTTTTAAACTGATCTATAGTTCATTCCATGGTCTAGATATAAGCATTTTGTTAATTTGTCCTAGAAATGTCTTTTTCTATTCTGTAGTTTTCCTTTTCACTCTCAAAATGGTATTTTTTGATTAATAGTTCTTAATTTTAGTATAATTTAAGTTTTTAGTCTTTTTCTTTACAGTTAGTGTTTTTTGTGTGTGTCCTGTTAAAAAGTTTTTCCCTACCCAACATCATGAAACTATTTTCCTTCGTTATTTTCTAGAAGTTGTATTATTTTTTCTTTTACAGTTAAATCTATAGTTCACCTGGAATTCATTTTTGTGCATTGTGTGAGGTAGGGGTTTGTGTGTGTGTGTGTGGATAGAAAATTGACCCTGTACCATTTATTGAAAAGCTTTTCCTTTCCTCACTGATGAGCAGTGTCATTTTTGCCACAAATAAGCATTTACACGTGTGGATTATTTCTGGTTCCTCACTTCCCTCCCATTAGTCTATGTATCTAGGCATGTGCCAGTACTACACCATATAAATTAATGAGCTTTCTGATAAATCTTACTTTCCAATAGAGTGGAATAAGTCCTGAACTTTGTTCTTTTTCAAGATTGTCTTATCTATTCCTGACACTTTGTGTTTGTATTTTAGAATTAGCTTATCAATTTTTATCAAAAAGGAAAACTATTGAGATAGTGATTAGAATTGCATTGCTTTTATCGATCAGTTTTGGGAGAATTTAGTATTTACTCTATTGAGTATTTCAGTCTATTTGAATGGTATTTCCTTCCATTTACTTAGGTTTTTCTTGATTCTTCTAAATGTGTTTCCGAAATTTTATTTCAAAAATTTAAACCTATATAGAACTTGTAAGACTAGAGTAATAGACACACATACCTTTCACCCAGGTCCACCGGTTATTAACATTTGACCACACTTGCTTCAGCTGTTATTTTTTGTCTGAAATATTTGAGAGTCAGCCGCAGATATCATAACTCTTCATATGCAAATAATTATTCCCTCATCTTCTAAGAACAGAACATCCTGATAAATAACCACAATATTTATTTAATGTTGAGAATAACAGCATTATCTAAATACAGGCCATAATTGCCAGTTTTTCTAATAATATCATTTGTATATTTTTGTTTGTTTGGTTTTGTTCCAGGAGCAAATCTAAGAACAAGTATTTTATTTCATTATTATATATCTTTAGTCTTTTCTTCTCTAAGATAATTTCTCAGCATTTCATTACCTTTCATGACACTGACATTTTGAAGAGTACTAGCTAGTTATTTCTGTGGAATCTCAATTTATATTTGACTGTCGGAATTCATGTTTAGATTAATATTAAACATTAGGAAAAAATATTAAAAGTAACTGGGCCTGGTGATAAGTTTGACCATTTAGTTAAAGGTGGTGTCTGACAGATAACATTAAAATTTTATAAATATCCTGTTCTCAATAAACATTTGCTCAGTAGCTTTAACCTTCACTGGTGATCACCCAAGTGCTATTACTATCAGTGGTTACAAAATAGTGATTTTTAAATTCTGTCAACTTTTCTATATATATATTAGTTGCCATCATCCTGTAAAGAAGAACTTTGCCCTCCTCCCTCCTCCTTTCATCTCCCCCATCCTTTTGTTGTGTCAATAAGTACTTTTCAATTCTTTCGCTACTTTTCAATTTGTTTTTAGATTCATTACTCTCATTCCTTTTTTTAAATTAAAAATTATTGGGGTGACATTGATCAACTAAATCCAATAAGTTTCAAGTGTACAATTAAATAGTATGTCATATATATATTACATTGTGTGTTCACCACCCATAGTTAGAATTCCTTCCATCACCAAATATTTGACTCCTTTTACTCCTATCTACCTCTCCCTCCCTTCTGGTAACTACTAATCCACTGTCTATGTTCAAGAGCTTCTTTGTCATGTTTGTTTGTTGCTTTCAGATTTATATCCCAATTATGGGTGACATCACGTGGTTTTCAGCTTTTCTGATTTATTTCACTTAGCATGATTATCTCAAGATCCATCCATGTTGTCGCAAACGGCAGTATTTCATCTTTTCTTATAGCTGAGTAATAATCCATAGTAAAGTTCTAGATTTAGCCAGTGGGAGCCCCTTTTAACATGCTCTTATGTCTTTTTCACATGTCTCTTTGGTTTATGAATATTTCCCTTCTTTTGCAAAAAAATGTTTCAGACTCACCTGTACTTTTCTGTACCTGTAACCAGCCACTTTTATAAGAAGCCTTGTTTCTTTTAGTGAAAATGAGTAGAAGAAGTAAGTATTTGAGTGTTAGGTATAACTTTGATACTGGCCTGTTGTTTATTCTAGGCATGTTCAGTAGACAGAAGAGGCGAATGATTAAGAAAAACACAATTTTTTTACTAATACCCATACTTCCAAGGTAACAACATAACAGTATTTCTCTTTTTTCTCCTGTCTCTATTTATGTCTTTTTTCCTCCATGGTAAGAAACCTGGTTTCCCACAAAATTAGTAAATGTATTTATTTTCTTAATCAAACAATACACATAAAATTTCTCTGCAACGTTTTATAATTCTTTGTGTAGAGGTCTTCAAGAATTTTTTATTAGGTTTTTCCTTAGGTGTTTGATGCTATTTTAAATAATAATTTTAAACATTTTATTCACTGGATATTTATTTCTATATGGAAATTGATTATGATAGCTTTTAAAAATTATGTTGACCTTGTATTCAGTGACCTTGCCTGATGTAGATATTAATTCTAATAGTTATATTAGTGGATTCTTTTAGATTTTCTGTGGATAATCAAGTCTGCAAATAATGCCAGTTTTTCCTTTCCAAACCTTATATTTTTATTTTTCACCCATTCTGTATTGCCCCAGAAAGGACCTATAGTACAGAAAGGGTCACAGCTGACATCTTTATCTTATTTTAGACTTCAGAGGGAACATGTTTAACATTATATCAATAGTGTGATTGTTTACTATAGGTCTTTTTGTAGATATCCTGTGTCAGATTAAGGAATTTTCCTTGTAGTTCTGTTTTGAGAGTTCTTTTTCTTAAAAAAAGAATGAGGCCTTTTGAGCCACGCTTCTCTTGCTCAGGCCTGCTTCCATGTCTGGAAGTGGACTTTCCCTTCTAATAAAACTTTTCTTTTCTACTGTAAAAAAAAGAAGAATGGTTGTTAAATGTTATCAAATGCATTTTATATATCTGTTGAGATGAGTGTGTGATTTTATCCTTCATTCTTTTAATGTATGAATTATAATAACTGTTGTTAAATGTTAGGCCAACTTTGCATTTCTGAAATAAACCCAAATTAGTTGTGATCTCTTAACCTGCAACCATTTATTCATATTTTTTTTATTCAATTGGCTCATAATTGTTTAGGATTTTTAAATCTATTTTCATGGGAAATATTGACATGCTTTTTTTTCCTTAAAACATTTTCGTCAGGTTTTGATATCAGTTTTATACTAACATCATAAAATAAACTGAGAAGAGTTGCCTGTTTTTCTATCATCTGAAAGATTTTCTTTTAGAAGAAAATGTGTTTGCTCTAAGTTGCCAGGAGACTTTTCTGTGGGAAGGTTTTGAAATCTCTTTCATTCAAATAGAACTATTTATATTTTTATATATTCTTGATTATTATTGAAGTTTGTATATTTTATCTACATTTTCAAATTTTTTTGGCATGACATTATCTCTGATGTTGCCATATGATGTTAGTAAGTTTTGTAAAATCAGTCATAGTATTCCCTTTTCATTCCTGATGTTGGTTATTTGTGCCTTCTCTATTTTTTTCCCTTGCCCCAAATGTTTGTCAGTTTAAATAATCCTTTTAAAACACCAGCACTTGAGTTTATGGATCCTTTCTATTGTATCATTCTTTTCTGTAGTAATAATGTTTGCTCCTATCTTTGTTATTTTCTTTACTTTAAATTTTTGGGTTTATTGGCTGTTTTTTTTTTTTTCTAACATCTGGAGATGGAGGCTCAGATAGCTGATTCTTAGACTTTTTCTTTTCTAATATATATTTAGAGCTATAAATTTAAGTATATCTGTAGCTGAATTCTAAATTCATATGTCATTTTCCATTGGCATCCACTTGAGAATATTTTCTAATTATCATTATGATTTTTTTAAAGCCTGTGTTATTCGGAGGTATAGTGTATAGTTTCCCAATATTTGGGTGTTTTCTATTTCTTTGTTAGTTGTCAGATATTTTATGTGAAAGGTTATGGAAATTCTTTGAGCCTCTAGATGATATCTTGCCTCTGAAAGGATTTACTCTTTGCTTCTGATGGGTTGCCAGACTAGAAGCAGATGTTAGTCCAGTTAGAATCTAATGAGCTTCAGTCATTTGATGGCTGATTTATTTCAGATTGACCTTACTTCTAGGATGTAGATCTATCTACAGGCTTGTATTAAAAAACCCGAGTGTCTACCAGGATACCTTCTCTTTGGAAAGTTCAAATCTGAAACTGCTTAGCTTTTTAACCTTTCAGTCATCCGTTTTGTACTTGACATTTGCTTCAAGAGGTGAAGGGATAGCAGATGCCAGGCTCATCTCTCTTGAGCCTCCTTCTTCTCCCAGCTCTTGGCCCAGAAATTGTTATTATCTTGGTAGCCTTATGATTTCAAAGATTATTGAAAATGTTCTCTTTTCTGGTTTTCTACTGGCTTGGAACAAATTAGTCTGTCATTGCTGTGAGCAGAACTCTCCTAGAGTATTTATACTTTAAGGCAGAAGTCATATATTTAAGTTCTAGTTTTCCTGCTTTGTCAGTTCTTTGGACAAATCAACTAAACTCCATAAGTCTCAGTATCCTCACTTGGAAATGGAGATTGTAATAGTATTTACCTTATAGATTTACCATGAAGTTTGAAAGAGTATGCCTAAAGAAAGCAGTAGGAACTGTGCTTGACACAAAATAAGCGCTATATAAAATTTTTGCCCTTATTGTAATTATTATCCTTATTATTATTATTATTATTATTACCCAAAGAAGCACTTAAGTTCTAGACATATAGTTAGCCATCAATCAACATTGTTTAGCTTTAGTTTTACATACAAAAAACCCTTAAACATATACATCACAGCCCTTTATAAGGAATAAAGAACATAAGCTGCAGCTCACAAATCAAGTTGGAAATTTAAAGGTGATAATATCAAGATGCTGACAGGTTGTGGTCTCTGGCAAGCATGATCATAGTTAGGGCACCATAATTACAAGTCTGAATATATTATGGGCAAGGCGAAGGATGGACCCTGTGTCCAAAAGTGGTGATCCAGAGCAAGTGTGAAGCAAGGGGCACACTGCTGCAAGGGCAGAGGCAGCAACTTGCCTCCAGGATTCATTTTTTATATCCCCAAGGCCTTGGGCTATATATTTAATGGGGCTCCTTTTGGCCTTACGTAAAAGGAGAAATGGCATCCAGTCTTAGTAATTGGAAACCCAGAGACAAGATGCTGGAAGAGGTTAGGGCTTCGTGTTTACAACCAGAAAGAGAGAAACCTTAAGAATTCTGGCTGTCATAATTGACATTCTAGGTGTGTGCTTTGGGGCCTCTTTCGTTACTATATCCTATCTTCCGTGCATATGATATAGAGAAAACAAGAAAGAACAATTGTAATATGTCTGGTAGATTGGAATAGATGGCAGATTGATATTCCATTTGATTAGTATGTATAAGGGAAGACATCTTCCACCTCTGGTTATACTTATCAGTTCCTCTTTCCTGGTTGGTACCATTTCTTATCTGATCGCTACTTTTCCAGGCTCTCCTTTCCCAGACATTTCCTTCATTCACATTTACGTTATTAAATCTCTCTGCTTTAGCTTCCTTATGTTTGTAAAGCAAAAGTAATAACCCCCATCTCCTAGTATAGTGTTACCAACTAGATGTAACATATATTGTGCTGCATAGTACCTGGCGCATAATAAATATTCAGTTAGTAGTAGTTATTGTCACCATTATTATTTTTAGTGCTTATTCTGTTCCCTCTCTTTCACCAGGCTCTTAGGGCTCTGAAATGGTCTCTGCAGCCTGTAGTAGAGGACATTTGTCGGAGCTGGGATTTGCCTTTTGTTCTATCTGCTAAAATGCTTTCCCCGGAACAGACTGTAATCTTTAGGAGTCAGAGGTTAATTATACATGCCCAGCTAACTGGAATAATGCCAGTGAGTTTCCATTCTTATTTGTTTCTTTAGTCAGAGTAGTTCCTGCCCTGAACTGTGCTCTGGACAATTTCATTAAAACTGGTAGGATCTCATCAATCAATCGAACTTGCCAGAATGAGCCAACCTACCCCCTTCTCCTTCATGCCAGGTCTCTGGGGCTCCTGGACTACCTGGTTCCTAGTCAGAAATGTTCATGTTTTGGGGTGGGGGCTGCCCCAATTCTGACATTTTTCTTGGTGATCTTGCCCTTCCATCATTTCTATTCTTCTTTGATTTGTAGCCAGCAGAGGCAACAGGAGAAGTTTGCCTCAAGTACACCCTCCAGAGCAAGAGTTTTGAGAATAAAGTGACATTTTCTCTACAGCCTGTTTGATGCCAAGTGAGCATTTAGTTTTCCTTTGCTATTTCCTTTCTTCCTCCTTCCTTCCTTTACTCTCTGTCTGTCTTGGCCATCCTTGGGGGTTGGCTTCCTGCTCTTAATTTTGTGCTGAATTATTTCCCTAAAATTGCTTCTCCTTTTTAAGCCACCAAAGTTTTATCTCTTCCCTTATCTGTCTTATTCCTCCCTCTGCCATCCCTAAATTTGAGGGCCCTAAGAAACTGGCATGTGAGTGCTTTGCTCTAAGTCACAGGATTTTTTTTTTCTTTTAGCCTCATCATTCACCACCTTGCTGCCGAGTCCTTTCTCCAGACAAAGGATATGGGCTTCAGGGAGACTCCAGCAAAAGATAAAAAAGATGTGTTGAAAGTCAGCACTGATTGCGGAGTCATAAGCTCCCACACAGCTTTCATTGCCGTCAACAAGGATCTCAATGACCTAGTTCGGGGCTCCCTGGTTCATAGGGACATCCCAAGGCCAATTCTGTTGAGTGCTACTGTTGTGATACCATGATACCATGGAGGTGGTGAGTTTTACCTCATTCAAATTCATAAAATTAGGAGACTTGGATGTTTGAACACATCATTTAAAGGAAACATTTATAAAAGTTCCTTTTTTCCTTTGTCCCTCTATATCTAGGATTTCTGGCTGGTGTCAACCTTTTCTGTCCTAGAGAACTAGAATATATCCCATTGCAAGGAGATTTAAAAGCAGTATCGGTGGCGAGGAGGGGCACACAAGGAAAATTAAAACAGAAAATGCACATAAACATTGTCTAAATTTGAAACTGATTTATTTTATTGATAATTAGATGGTTAATGATTATACCAGTGGCTGGTGAACAACCCGGTAGTGTTAGGACATGGGTGCTGATTGCTGGGACTGTCTCAGGCATTAGCCAAGCAAGCCTGATTTTAAATATAAGGGATTTGAGGATTAGGATCAGGTGGAGAAATTCCCTGGGCAGGTTTCTGTGGCCGGAGGGGAATGTATGTTAGTTCTAGAGGCAGGCTTCAAGGTGGGCCCAGATTTTTGGTTGGGCAACTGGGTAGATGATGATACCATTTATTTAATAGAATAAATAAAGAACAAAGGCAAGTTTAGAGTATAAAATGTTGAATTATTTTTGAGAATTTTGAACTTGAGATTCCTATGGAACATCCACATGAAGATGTCCAGTAGAAAGGGAGATAGATGGGTCTGAGGTTCAGAAGAGAGGTCAGGGATGAAGATATACATTTGGCAAAAACTAAAGTCATGAGAATGGGTGAAATTATACAGAGAGCAGGTATAAAGTGAGGTGAAAAAGACTATGACAACTATGATTAAAAGTTTCATCAGTATGTAATATATTTAATTACTAAATGAAGACAATAGTCCCTCTAAATCTATGTTGCCATTCTTTAAAAAATAAAAATAAAGGACAATGAGATTAAAACATCGAAGAATATCCAGTATCTCAAGATGGATTCCCCAAACCATAATAAAATTAATGAAATAGGAAAAAGAGATGCAAGTGCATATTCAAAAGAAAAGGAACTATGATATAACAAAGGGAATTATCAAAGTATCAAATATTGCAGAGAAATCAAAGTAAAACTGAATAGAGTCTATTAGGTTAATACAAAAAAAATAGTACTTGCTAATCTAATCAAGAACAATTTCATTGGCTTAGATTAGGAAAGAATTTGTATTATACATTGTTAAAGAGCAAATGAGAGGTGGGAAATAAAGGGCGGCTTGTATAGACACTTTTTATAAATGTTGAAAATGGGAAGGGGTAGAGTGCTATCTGTAGAAGAAATTGTAGAGTTTGGGTGGTTTTCTGTGTCTTATATCTCTTTAAAATTTCAGAATGAGAGAGATTTAAGGGTGTTGTAATACTAATAGGAAAGTGCTCATAGAGAGGGTTGACAATGCCGGGAGCGGGGTACTAAGGTTAGCTAATTGAGAAGGGAGTTCGAGGGAGTTAGAGAGGATGAGATCTAAAACTACAGTGGTGGGGTTAGGCTTTAATAGGACAAATATTAGGACATTCTTCCCCTATTGCCAGGAAGTGAAGAGAAGGTGATGGGATTAGATTTTAGTTCACGGGCTGAGAAGCATCTTTTTGAAGTTTCTGTATGATAGTTTTTCTATAGTTTTAGTGAAAGAGATTAGCTAAAGAGTTAGCAAGATTAGCTAGCATGTATGAGACTAGACTGGTAGAACAGAGAATTTGAGGAAAAGATTTGAAATAATTCTGTGGAAAACTGGAGAGTGAAACACTCAGGGAGAAATAGAGCATTTGTCAAGGAAAGGAGCGTTTCCAGTTTAGTTTGATACCTTGACTTCTTTAATGGCGCTAAACTACTAAAGGGAATCAGTTTACATGATTCATTTGAGCAGTACTCAACACAACAGCTGTAAGAATGAAGAGTAGAATATTGTCTTAATTTCAAGGTTGGGGTTTTACCAGATAGGTGTGATGAAAAAGGAAATTAGGGACGTGGAATCGAAGATATCGATAAGAGAGTAGTAAAGTGATGGACCAGAGACTTAGGCTAAATGGAAAGAGAGTAAAGATAGGAGGAAGTTTTTGTATAGGAAAAACACAGAGGAGACAACAATTTAGAAGTTCAGATGAGATCAAAGATCAGGTAAAATAATAATCTCTGAGTTAGAAAGCTGGAAAAAGTGGATACTGTATTTTTTAAGTAGATTTTTTCCA